CCCGGCACCGCTGGGGCCTGTATCAGGCCGTGAGGTGGGAGCAGGAAACTGGGGTGGGCCATGGCCCCGAGGGCAGCTCACTGGCCCAGCGGGGACACGGGCATGGTGTGAGCCACATCTCTGGGCAGGTGGCTGCACTGGAAGGCCGTCCTCATGAACCTGGCGGCCCAGAGGAGTCCAGGAAGCGGCTGACAGAAGCCCCGTGGCCGCGAGCCTGCACCCGGCCCAGCGCCCTGCTCCTTCCCGGAATAAACGTGCTATCTGTCAGAGCCCAAGATCCTGCGGCCGCCCGGGGCTTCTTCCCCAGTGCTGCTGGGCGGCCATGGGGCTGGGAGACCAAAGGCTCTGCCCCCAGACTTCCCGTCCTGCCCAACCCCAGCCCAGGCTGTGTCGCCTCCCATGGCGGCCAGAGTCAGTCTCCACCCTACCCAGACAGAGACACCCAGGCCCAGCCTGGGCCCTGGGTGCTGGGCCCTGCGCCCTGGGCCCTGCTCCAGCCGCCCATCTCGTCCACAGTGCCCAGGGGAAGCTGCTGCTCAGTGCAAACCCGGGCAGGAGGCAGCGCTGCTCCTCAGGCCATCCGCGGCGCCCCCTTTCTGCGCTCCAGGGAAGCCCTCACCATCGCCTCTGGCCTTGCCCGTCTGCTGCCCCAGCCCCTCCCCCTCCCCCGTCTACCTTACAGCCTGGTACAGGCCTGCTGAGTGAGGAGGGCCTGACTGGTGGGCAGGGGAACAGCCCCCTTAGACGCCCTCCGGGAGCTGTGCTCCTTGAGCTGCCGTATGGACGACAGCAGGGTGGCCAGCTCCTGCCGCGTGGGCCAGCCTCGGGGGAGCCGGCTCCTGTCCATGACCCCTGCCTGTGTCCGGCAGGGCTCTGCTCAGCAGCCGTCCAGGGAGTCCCACGGCTCCTGCCCCAAGCCCAGGCCCCTGATGAGCTCGCTGCCTGGGCCTCCCTGGGCTAGGAACAGTGATTGCCCATACCCTGTCTGTCCTGCTGGTGGCCACAGGACAGAGGACCCAGGCCTGTCCCAGAGCGGAGGGGTCTGGTTGTGATGGGAACTGTGCCCCTGGTGCCCCACCCTGCTTGCTAGGCTTCAGCCAGCTGGGCACCCTCCAGGCCTGGGGTGCCCCCGGCTGGCAGCTCAGGGCCGGCCTCAGCTGACCAGCTGGCCAGCAGGTCACTGAAGTCGGGCGTGCCACTGTGCAGTAGGCCGAGGGGGCTGGGCGCTGGCTCTGTCCAGAAGGATGGGGGGAGCGTTCTCTGGGCCATGGGAGTGACATGGCCGTACTTCTGCTCCAGCCTCAGTCTGCGGGCAGGCGAGCCCCCGAGCCCTGAGCACCCCCGCAGCCCGAAGTCAAAGAGCTCAGCCAGGGGGCCCAGGCGCTCCGCCTCACCCCTGCTGGGGCCTGGCCAGCATGCCTGCTCCTGGGGCCCCCCTGAGCAGCCCCCCGGCTCAGAGGTCTCCCTGCCCTCCAGGGGCCCTTGAGCTGGGCTCAGGTCAGCGTGGTAGCGCTCCCTGGCGGAGTCGCTGGCTGGGCAGCCTTCCGAGTAGGCAGGGCAGGCGTCTGGGTCCTGCCGCTGGTCCTTGCGTCCAAAGTAGCGCTGGATGTCCCCGCTGATGAGCTCAGAGAATCGCAACAGCTGCCACGGGTCCTCGGGGGCTGCTTCTGGGGTGGGCTCGGCCCAGCCTGAGCTCTGGAGGGCTGGGCTATAGCCCCCTAGCCTCTCACCCTCCACCTCCTCGTCCTCGTCCTCGTCCTCATCCTCAGAGGTTTCTGGGGGCACCAGGTCTGAGGGTAGGAGGTGTTTAGGGGATGGCAGGGGCAGCCGGAAGTCACGGAGAGGCTGGACCACACCGGCTGCCATCTTGGGTTGTCCTTGGGCTTCGGGTCCCGGAGCAGTAGGTACCTGCTGGGGAGTGGAGAGGGCGGAGCAGTCAGGCTTGCAGCTCAGAGCCCACCTGCTGTGCCCCCCAGGGTGCTCCTAGCCCCAACTCTCCTGAGGGTGGGGCTTCGCAGACTCCCGGGGCTGAGTCTGTGCTTGGAGAGGGTCAGCCAGGGCCAGCATCCGTCCACTTGGGAGTGGGGCTCTCATGGCTACAGGCTGATGTCCTGGAAAGGAGGCCACTCGGGGCTGGGCCAGGAGCCCCAGGGCTGGGTGACAGGGGAGCCCCCGGAGCGGAGGGGTCTGGGCCCTGCTGAGCCTTGCCCCAGGCCGTGGTGGCTTTCTGACCCTGCGGAGAAGACACAGCCGGGCCTGGGCGCCCTCCAGCCTGCAGGTACAGCCCCAGGCTTCCATTCATGTGGTCAGCGGGAGTGGGGCACTGGGTCCTGACCTGGGTGCCCCGGCTCAAGGTAAGGGGAGGGTCTGGGGTGGGATGCCATCCTCTCAGCCAGCCACTAGGCTATCTGAAACCCAGAGGCCCTCGTGAGAAGGAAGCGAGGAGACAAGAGCGGAGCCCTTCTCGGCAGATACCGCCCCCCGGGAAGAGGTGCAGAGACGGGGCTGGGGACTTGCCCCAGGCCAAATACCTACTGCCCTGTGCTGCCTGCCCTCTGCCCCAGCCCCCACGTGGCTGGCACCGTTCCGTTCCGTAGACGGGCCCAGGCCCTCCTGCTGCGCTTCAGGTCACCGCGGAGCCCTCCCTCCCCAGAGCCTGCTTCAGTGGGCCTGCCTGTCCAGCCCTGGCGGTGTGGCCACCCCCTTGGACCTCCCGCACACCTCCTACGCGCCAGGCCCTGGCTCCTACCTGGCCGAGGCTTGCAGCTTCACTGGACAGGCCCCTCCACCTGGGCTCCAGCATTTATAGCCAGGCCCTGCGGCCGCCCTGGATGGCAAATATTTGGCGACAGCATTGTCACCGCAGACCAGGCAAACAGAGCCCGTTTGCTTTAGTGCCCAGCAACCAGGACTCCGTGGGGGGAGCATCGCTGACTGGCCCCACCTGCAGGGCCTGCCCGGGGACCGTGGAGTGTTTGCCGCGGGCCCAGCTGGCTCACACCCTGAGCCCGGGGGCGCTTATCTCTACTGCCGACGGGGGCCGTCCAAGCTTTGTCAAACAGGCGGAAAATTAAATTTCATGCTATTTTGAGTTCTGGAGTGGCCTCTCTAGAGGATACCCCCGCCTCTGTGGCCTCTGGGTAAATGGCACCCTGGCCCCCGTCCCACCCCACAGCCTTGCACCCTCCTGGGCAGCTGTGTCCGGTGTCAGCCGCACCGATGTGGCCTCGGTGAAGACCCCAGCTGGGGCTGTACCCCCCACCGCTGCCTGGAGCTGCGGGTGTGCCCCGCCAATTCCGTGGATCCCATGGTATCCCTGGCCTCCCTCTGGTTGCTGCTGTCCCCTGCACCCCTTGGAGCCTGCCTGGGGTCACGAGGTGCCCTGAAGCCTCCGCAGGCGGACCCCTGGCAGCGACTACAGCTAAGGGCTTCAAATAGCAGAGACTTAGTCTCTTCCATTTGGGGGCTAGAAGTTCATGGGCTGAGGTGTCCGCAGGGCTGGGTCCTGCTGAGGCTGCAGGGGCTGTCCCCGGCTGTGGGAC